AAAATCCCACAAGACTTACAGTGAAAGTAGAAATGGTCAGAATCCTGCCTTCATTACTTACTGTATTTGTTCTTTGACCTTAGTAATGTTCTTTCTTTTTTTTCTTTTTTTTTTTTTTTTTTTGTCTTTTTCATTTTTACCGGTACCAGGGATCGGGATTGAACTCACGACCGCCTGGTTTACAAGGCAGGTACTTATGCCGCTGAGCTAAATCCCCAGCCCCCCTTAGTAATGTTCTTGAGGCCTTAGTTTTTTCATCAGAACGTATCTTTCTTTTAAAGAGTTATATTGGAATAAAATTAGAGAATGTATAAAGTAAGCACACTGCTTGGCACATGGTAGACTAAATAAAAATAGCTACAAACTGTTAAGTGAACAAGTGAACATATATATGTAAATCATATAGCCCTAAGAATAAGATGGTAATTTACACTAAGTTGACAATAAAGACATTCACAAAATGTTTCAAAGTGTTCTGCAAAGTTTTGCTTTATATAAGCAGGAGAAAAAAATAACCAACAACAGTAAGAAAAAAGAAACTGAACACATAGAATAATGTGACAACTTATTTCATGATCTAGTAACCTACAAAAAAGTTAAAAACCCTTAGTTTTAACTCATAGTCTCTTTACAAACTAACTTCTAACTGTTTTTTTGGTCTCAACTCACACTTATCCTCCCATGTAGTCAACACTGTAGTTGCAATACACTCCTTCATTGTTCAAACTTGGGTCAAAAAAATTACTTCACTCCAGTTACTCTTCTCACTTATTCTCTTTCTTACCTTATTAATCATTCTGGTCTATGGTGCCTTCCTCAAGACCTAGCAGAGACCGTCACACCCACCTCCTACTGCTTAAACTGCAATTTAGAGAACCCTTGCTTAATTTGACCCCCCCCATCTTCTTCTTTACTAGATTCTTAAGAGAATCATTTAAATGAACATACCTGATAGTGGTCACATAGATGCAGAGAACATAAAACATGATAAAGCAGCACTTCTTTACATATAGAAACAGGTAAAAAGGTGTTCACCATCTTTCTGTATCATTCCAATTTTAGTACATGTGCTGTATTTTACCCACGGCTTCACTAGCATTCTGGTATAATATAAAAAAGCAGCACAATGCTAATAACACATGTGCCACTGCTTTTGAGCATGTATCTTCTGAATATTTAAAAACACCTATTTTAACAATACTGACAATTCATGACAAAACATTTGATGACTTATCTATCCAGTAACATATCAGCCCACTACAAATTCCACTAAGCAAATAGACTATCCCTTCTCTTTTTGGTATTCATTAAAAGAAAGGACTGTAGATTTAATTTTTTGGCTTATGTAAAAATGCTGGTCCCAAAACAAGATTTGATCAAATAATAAACCTTATTTTACAAGTCACTTATGAAAATCATTCTCATTATTTCATATTACATATACTATATACATATATACTTTATTAAGTTTTACAAATGTCAATTCTTATTTCCTATACATGTAAATATGCTTGGGAAGTTAATTTGCAATGAAGACTTTAATCCAAAAACTGCCTACCACTCAGGTAATAACTGGGTCTAGGTGTGATTCCAAGTAAGTAGGCAAACAGTTTCCAATTATAGCAATGCAAATTAGAAGTCACAGGTCTAGCTCAATCAGGTTGTAATTCTAGTTCTGCTATTAATCAACAGTGCTACCCAAGGCACATCATTTCACATTTCTAAAACCTTAGCTGGGTATCGCACACATAAAATTATTCTGGATTAGATCAATATTTCTCATGCATGCTGGATCATAAAAATCCCATATTAACAAAAATATCATACCTCTCCTCTAAATAAAGACTTTAACTTAGCATAAAATGTTTCAAAGTGTTCTGCAAAGTTTTGCTTTATATAAGCAGGAGAAAAAAATAACCAACAACAATAAGAAAAAAGAAACTGAACATATAGAAGTGTTCACAATTACAGCTCCTCCTAGCAATCTTACAGATAGATAATAATGCTTATGCAATGAAAGAAAATGATAAATGTTGTAATTATTAATTGGCCTTAAGTGTCTGAAATACTTCCCAGTACTACAAATATAGAAGACATTGTCAAAACTATAGTTCTTTCTCATATTAAATTACTACATCATTTATCTTTTTTTTTTTTTTTTTGGTACCAGAGATTGAACTCACAATCTTGCACTTGCCAGCAGGTACTTACACCACTGAGCTAAACGCCAGCCCCTACTACATCATTTAAAAAGCCAAATTCTCAAAATTTATCTTTAACAGTAATGTATTCTACAATATGACATCTCATTTTTAAAAAGACAAAATTAATAAAATCTATTAAGTCAAACTTCCCTTAGTCATACAACTTTTGTTTCTAAAAACCGATCGCTACAATGGATTACAGAAAAGAGATTTTAAAGCTTCAGATAGCCAGTTACAGGATTCTTGAATTCAACCATCCAGCGACTTTAATATTTGCTCTGATTTTCCTATGCTTGCCTAGATAACATTTAAGGATGTTATCAGGATACTCATTTCCCTTTAAAAATGTAACAGAAATAATTAGAGACATATAAAGCACTTTAGACAACACTTATGTTTGAATATCAATTTCTTACCCTTGAGTGTTAAAACTGTGTAATTATTTCCCAGAAGAAACCAAAGTTAATAGTTTGGTGTACATTCATTTAAAACCATTGTCATTTTTGTTTGTTTGAGGTAGTAGGGACTGAATCCAAGGTCTTGTGCATGCTAGGTAAGCACTCTATCACTAAGCTATATTCTCCTCAGCGCTTCTAATTTTCTTTTAGAACAATGTCTAAATTACCCAGATTGGCCTGGAACTGAATATACAAGCAGCTGGGATTACAGGTTAAAAACTACTGTTTTTATACAATTTCACTGGGAAATTTCATACTACCTGAAATTTTAATCAGAAAATACTAGGATGAACATTATTTCTTTTAAAAAATCAGGATAACACATTTACTACAACCCACACATTTCTTTCCCAAAAGGCTGTGAAGCACCATACGAAAATAAAATGTCAAAATTACTAAGATAATTTAGAGAAAAGTGGTAGAGGAAGAAGAGGATCTATATATTCAGTGCAATTATAAACATTATTTTTTATGATATTTCCCAAAAAAGGAAGATAAGAGCAAAATAATAATTAAGCTACAGATCTGTAACTGTGACACTGCAAAGGGTTAAGATGCTATAGTCAAGAATTAACTTGTTGCTGAGCATGGCAGTACACACCTGTAATCTCAGCACTGAAGAGGCTGATGCAGGAGGACTGCCAGAAGTTCAAAGCCAGCCTGAGCTACAAGTCCAGGCCAGCCTGAACTCCATAGCAAGACCCTGTCTTAAAAACAAAACAGAACAACCAAAAAAAAAAAAAAAAAAAAAGAATTAAGTTGTTAAGTTCTTTAAGACCACAAACAACTCAAAGCCATAAAAATAAGGGAAATCTGTAATGTTTAAATTATATTCTTTAAACACATCGAAAGTTATCAGCAGGATCAATAAAGTGTAAGAGAAATACTAGTAATTAATGTAATTAGCAGTCTATCAACCCCATTACTTTAAAATTAATTCTACAAGTATCTTCCTATTCTACCTTCACTACTACTCTATCTTCACTAGAAAAAAAATATAGAAATCATGTTAAGTTTGTTTCATTCTTATTAAAGAGGATCTAAAATAGATAACCTACTTTATGGACAACTAGGTCATCTAATGCATATCTATCTGTATCTGAAAAAGCAACAAGCAGAGATTCACAAACTCATTGTGTTTTGTAACTATCCACTTGGCCTGGAAACAATAGAAATGGAAGTAATTAATGTAATCATCCAACTAGTAGTGTGATTCTGGAAGAGCCAATTGACAGAGTGATAGGATACTTCAGCTGAATTATGCTTGCCTTGGCAAACTATTTACATATCTAACATGTATCCAAAGCACATGTGCAAATGTCAGAAGGTAATGATAGGCTAATTTAGAGCTGTCAATGAAAGCTGAAACTTCTTGGATCTGATATAACATTCATATTCTCAGTTATCCTTAGTAATTCTACTTTAAATCTATGAAGCAAATGCCATTAACTATATTATTCTCTATTCCAGCAGTGTAAAAGAAGGAAAACAGGAGAAAGCAAATTAGGTCATGGCCTCATTTAGTAGTAGATTTGATAAACTAATTTTTGTATGCCCTTCTTAAATTTTATAATACAGTCTTCTATATATGTCCCTCTCCTTTTCCCCAGCAATACTACTACTCTCATACAAGGCAGTGTGATTTAATCAAATGTGCACAATCACTTTTCTAACAATATTCTTGATATCAGCATTTTGTGGAACTTAAGCTAAAGTAGTATAATGGACTAAAACAGCATAAAATAAACTTAAATATTTAGATTTATGTTTCCAGGGACTATTCTTACGACAGATCTTACTTGCTTATCCCAGAGCAGATTTCTTTATGTGTTTCTATAAGAAAAAGCTAATAGTAAACTAAAATATCTGATATGAGGTTCACCATGAGGTTATTTAAGCATATAATGAACACTTACATATATCAACTCTTTGGGGGGAGGAGTACCAGTAACTGAACTCAGGACCTTGCCTGAGTAATGTTCCTGGTCCTATCAACTCTTACCTAGTGAAAAAAAAAAATGCTAAAAATGTATTTTCCACTTCTTCTAGTTAATCTCTATGATGGAAATTTTTTAATTAAATAAAAATTATGTTAAAATAGTTAGAATAAATGTAATTGTTATTTTCAGATATTAGATAGCACCAAACATTCCAAAATAGTTAAAATCTTTCCTTTAGACATAAGTTTTACAAGAAAAGACAATTTTTAAACCCTAGACAGACATTAGAGTTAAACTTCAAAACACATTTTCTTCTGTTTTACAGTACAATTCACACTCAATAGTAAGCACTTTTAAGCTTGAAAGCTTAAAAAAAAACTGTGGGTATGCAGACTCACCATTTGTATGGGTTTCTTGTGGAGATCTCGTTCAGTAACCAATTTCTCTTGGTCAGTGACATAAAGACCTTTCTGTGCTAAAGCCTGGATGACAGCATCGTGGCCCAAAAGAGGTTTGGCGGCATCGCTTTTGAGAATGAGGCTCCCAGCTCGACAGTACAGTTCTGCTGATAGAAGCAAATTAACGACGGGAGGTTTGATGTGTTCCTGGTCATACTGATCAGTGTAAAATGGTTCTCGAAGTTCCTCCGGCACATTTTCTATAAAGGGAATAAATAATTCCATTATGAGATTTTTAAAAAGAAACATAATTATTTAGTAATTATTGTTCATGTCACAGAACTTAAGATTCATCCTAAAAATAACAGTATCCTTTTAACTATCAAGATTTTTGGATCTTACCATATAACCTAGAATGAAAGAAGAAAGATGCAAGTTTCTCTAAAGACACTGTTTATATTCTAAAAAGGGACTATAGAGTAAACCAAGTAGCAAAGTTCTGAGTCCAGAGCTTCTTGGGAAGTATTTCCACATGCAAAGTCAAAAGTACAAAAGGAACCATAAAAATCCTAAAAACGAATCTCAGTGAATAACCACACACGCAAACATTTAACCAAGACATGCACTAATACTGTTAGGTATCACTGAGAGGATAAAATCCTTTTCCCAAAATTTTTTACAGGTACCAAATCACGGAACTGACTGCCTGACTTACTTTGTTCCTTTGTCTCAAGGGCCCTGGTCTCTTCCCTTGCTTAGCCTACTAAAGTACTGACAGGGAGTTAGGAAAGAGCCATTTTCTAAAATCTGGTATTTAATACTATGGGATGCAAAAATCAGACATAGAAGGAAGTTTATTTCATAAAGATAAGGAAATGAAGTTTGAAGGCTGCAGTAAAAACAGGAAGTCAAAAACATGAGACTGCTAACGACACACAAAACTAGATAGGAATAAAAGGAGAGGGGTCAATGTGGAAAGCAAGGATGAGTGAGCGTGGGTTATGGGGCAAGCAGTGACAACATTAATTAAACAAAGGGAAATCAGCGGCAGCACCATTCTAGAATCAAGGTCATAAGCTCTGTTTAGACATGTGGCATTTACACAATAGCAAAAATACCTGAAAGGAAGTATCCAGTAAGTAGCAGGAGGTACAGGACTCAGTATCTGAGTGAAATAACGATTTGGGTTTTGGAGACATCTAAAAATATCTACCTTGTTTAATAATTAAAAGCAGCTTCCTTCCTTCATAGCTGCGTTACTCAGTAGCAAGACAGCCTTAAACTTAATATAGTTGAACTTCAGCAGTGCAAGCTGCAGAATATTGTGACAGTATTCATTTAAATTGTAGTATGTAGAAGTTACATAGTAGAAAAACTATAAAAGAAGTTAAAGATAATTATAAAATGTCTAAAAATTTTTTCATTTATCAATAAAATGACTCATATGGGTGATAGTATCTAAACACTAGTTGAGCAATGAAAAGTGAATGCATGTTGTGCTACAAATTTGTCTATCATATTTATATATCCACTTAATACTACTGTCACACACATTTTCTTTTTTTTCTGACTTTTTTGATGGTATTTATTCATTTGTATGTCTTTTTCTTTTGTATGTCTTTTCATTTGTATGTCTTTTTCATTTGTATGTCTACGTTAGTGTCTAAAGAACAGGAACATACTTTAGTAAGTATGTAGCATAAACTTGTTTGTTGAGTAAATCAAATTATGTGAACAACCATTGGAGCACCTAATTTATAAAAAGACAACAAATTTTAAAGTAGGTAAATTACCATTTTCAAAAAGCATCAAAAAATGAATGTATTTAACCATACCTAGCTGATAACAGAGCAAATAAGGTGAATAATAATTCATGCTATAGCATGTTCAATGAACCGAAAATAGAAAAGTAGCTGGAGGAAGGCAGAGAACTCTGTCTCGTAAGAATTAGAACCGAGGGGCTCCATAATCATCTGTGGTTAGAAATGTACATGAAAGAACTCTAGGGATCTTCCAGATTCTCTGTTTAAGGTCCACATCAACCGTGGCCACAATGTAACACTTGTGCTGGGTTATTCTCTGCACTAAGCAGTCATCCGCATTGGTTCCTTTATGGTCACACACATTTTTACACATGATCTTTATAGTATCTTGGTGAAATGGGCAAATCAGATAATTCACAGATAAGTAACAGGAACACACACATATTTACTAAGGATTTTCTATATTACAGGAACTGTCCTAAATGTGAATTCTGTCAACAATCCTGTCATCTTCACAGGACAACTCAGGAAAAGTTGTCTTGTGCAAGCACATAGCTAGTAAATGTAGAACTGGACTTCTAGACCATCCAGCTAAAACTCAAAGATAAGGTGTGCCAAGATCACAAGGTAGGGGTGAACAAAAGCTGAAGGGCTGTTTTCATTTTATTAAAACATACCACAAATTTACAATGTTAAATATGAAGTTTTAAAAAGACCTCAACACAAGAAAAACAGAAAGGATACACTGCAAATCAAAAAATGTTTCAAGAATATGATAAAAATAGGTTTTTTACCCCACCACCCAAGAATGCAAAACTCCATGTTAAATATTATACAACAGGTCACTTTAAAAACAAGTCTAAAGAAAAAAATCTTCAAAATGCCTTGTTTTACCAATGGTACACTACTGTTCCTTAAAACAATTTGAAATTGTGTCACATTTTTCAAAAAAATGAACTGAAACAGCATACCAATGAACAAACAGGCAAAAGGAATGGTAAGGTTCATTCTCTTCCTAACCTGCACAAAAGGTAAGAAACTAAGAATTATGGAGTGGCTGAGTGAAATGTCACTGCTAGAATTACAAAGGATGAGAGACAAGTTCTTCTGGTATACCTGGATTTAAGAATAACCTATCTTAAACATGTTATAAATTCTGACTAGTTTTAAGTTTTGAAACTGACATTCACCTGAAACACCTGAGGTACTGAGAGAGGGAGTAGAGAGTACTGCTCAATGCAAATTTCTTTAAAGCTGGATTAGTTACCAGTTGCGTCCATCACCTACCTAGTAAATGGTACAGATTTCTTTAAGACAGTGCAGGAGTAGAAGGTAGGAGGAAAATGCACTTCACAAATATTCCACAAAACTGTAAGAATATTGCCTTATTTTTCATATCTAAAAATTATTTGTAAAACACAGAACTTGTAAACTTTAAAAAACTGCAACTGAAAGTAAACCACAAATTCTAAACTTGAAATTAACTTAAAGTCATAAAAAGGGTCAATAACATGAAAAGAAACAATACCAATAATCAAAAAGTTAGAATTTGCCTATCAATATAGCAAACAAAAAATATGTTTTAAACATCTTGTTCACAAAGATGTACTAAAATGAATAATACCCTCCTACATGACCAGAGGGCAAAAACCATATCTATCTTTGTATGAGATGGATCCCCACACCTTGATTAGTGCCTGGTACATGGTAAATACTTGATAAATTTTGATAAATGAACAAAAGATGTTATTTAATTCATGGAATAACATGTAAATCTATGAGAACACCTGCTATAAATAAATAAATAAGCAAGAAAGCTAATTAGCTAGCCCTTTCTTCAGTAGAGAACCAACCAGTATATGGCGGGGAGGCAGCAAGAATTATTATTAAATACTAAAACAGCAGCAAAAGTTCAATCAAATGGGTACACTAAGCTATATCCTCACGAATTAGTTATTAATTAAAAGTGAAAAAAGAGCCATTTTACAGTGGGAAAAAGTGGCAGATACGACTTTAATCAAGTGATCAAAATAATCAGTATTGGACCAAACATGTGCCTTGACACAATTCACTGTGCAAACACACTTCTTCCATGGTAGTCTCGTATAATTTGAATCCAATCATCAAGCAATAGTAGACACATCCAAGTGTAGAAACTATAAAACAGCTGGCTCTCTCCCCCCAAAATCGAAGTGGCACCGTGTGCAGAGAAGCAACAGGCATTTCTGCTGGTGAGACAGGTGATGGCCAGGGGGTGGTAGGAGTACCAGTCATGAAAAGATACAGAGTAGTAAGCAACCAGTGGGAGTAGGAAGGAGTAAAAAAGAGAAGGAAGAAGAAAAGTGGCAAGGAAAGAAGAAAGTCAGACATGAGCTGGCCCTGAAAGCAGGAGCAGCAAGAGTTTGGGAGATGGACTCCGGGTTCTAGGTCTTCATGAGCTCTTGTCTGCAGACAAATTTTGCCCACTTTTATTCTCCTCATATTTGGACACTCCCAGAACCCATACCAGGATCTCAACATCATTAAAATCATTCAAACCAAAGTAGAGACATCTGCTGAATGTGTCCAATATTTCAAAGAGCTGACACACAGAAGTTGGCCCCTGAAGCTACCACAGGATTAATGAAGGTTGGTAAAAGCTAAGATAAAGCCCAAGAAAGGTATCTGATGTTCAATTCTACATGGAGCTCAGAGTACTTTATTTTCCAAAGTGTTAATATCATGAAAGACAAAGACAGGCTGAAAACTTATTCTAAAGGAGACGTAGAGACAACTGAATGCAATACATGATCTTGGACTGGATCCTGGAAGGGAAATAAAATAGCAATAATAGAGCTTATAACAATTGGCAAAATCTGAATACGGACTATTGATTAGATAATACATGCAAGTCAGATTTTGTTATTTTTCACTGTAGTTACGTAGGAGAATTATCTTTCATTTTAGGAGACACACATGAATAATTTAAGGGTAAGGGAGCACAAGATTCCTAATGCATTCTCAAATAGTTCAAAAAACATTATCTGTATTTGTGCATATTTATTTCTGTGTGTGTGTGTTTTGTGTGTGTGTGTAAAATGAATACATGTGCTTGTGGGGGAGGGAAGGAAAGAAAATGATAAAACAAATGGAACAAAATGTTGACAGTTGATAAATCTGGGTAAAGGATATTCCAGAGTTCTTGTATGTTCCAGTGTTCTTGTATGTACAATTCTTTTATGTTTGAAACTGTGTTGAAAAAGTTAAAAAAAAAACTCGAAATGCCTAAAATCAATCTTGTCCCCCAAACCTGATCATCTTCTAGAGCTCCATATATAAATGAACTATATCACCAGTCATCTAGCTGTACTAGCCTAAGTGTTCCTCTCCCTCAACCCCACTGCCATAAAACAGAATTCAGTCCACAGCCATCCCTACCTCCTGATCCCGACTCATAACTCTCTGATCCAGACAATCAGCACTTTTGCTTCAGTTACTGCATGTATTCCTAATTTTGT